TTATGTTTTGTCTGCCACATGAATTGGGAGCTCAGTGTGGGGATGGGAAGGCTTAGAGGATGAGCTTGGAGTACTGCTTGACAAGAAGCTTGAACACTGTATAACCCTCTCTCACTTTAGTATTCATATTAAACTAATCCATGGCCTTATTTTCCTCTTTATTTTGAGATATGCCTTGCTATGCACTTTGGGCTGGCCTTGTGCTTCCTTTTATAGCCCCCCAGGCTGGTCTCGAACTCTCAGTGATCCTCTTGTCTCAACCTCCCCAGTGTTGGGATTACAGGTGTGTGCCACCAAACCAGGTTCTAGGGAGGCATGGCTTGTGGGGCCAGAGATCACATTCAGGTCCTTGTGCTTGCCCCGTAGGTGCTTATGCCTCTGCGTTATCTCCAGCCCTCTCCATGCCTTCTTATATTTTATTCCATATTTATTCAATAATTTTTTTCTTTATGAAATTGAACTTTCTATAGTCATATATGACTATATTGGTCTAAAAGTTCAAAAGTAAAATTGAAGGTTGACACCTTAGTCTTGTGACCAACAGTTATAATATTTTGTCACATAGTTGCCATATTTTATTAGATTGTGGCCTTAGAGAAATCACTGGGTTTAATTGTTGTCCTTATGTAGTGTCTTTTTTTCCTGGCTGCTTTTAACTTTCTTTTTCTGTTATACAATTTTGCTATGACATACATACATGAGAATTTATTTTGTTTGTTGGAATTGATAGCTATTCCAAAGATCATGACTTCAAATTTATTTTTTATTTTTTTATTTTTTTTTGATGACTTCAAATTTAAAAGATATCTATTATCTTTTGATCATCATTCTAACTTTGCTGCTGTTTTAAATATTTTTTCAGGGCTGGGGAGATGGCTCCGTAGAATAAGCACTTCCCTGGCAAGAACAAGGGCCTGAGTTCAATCCCTGGTTCTGCCAAAAAATTTTTTTTTTCTTCAGGAATCAATATTAGAGGTTTATGAGACCTTCTTATTATAAAGTACCTTAACTCTTAAGTCTTCCAAAATTTTATTACCTTATCATCCTTTTTGCATTCTATAATTTTTTTAACCTCTCTCATACAGTCTACTCACTCTGTCTTCATCTGTATCTATCTTTTTGTTTAACATACCGCTTTTCAAACTTTTTTTGAAAAATAATTTTATTCATTTGATACAGGGTCTTGCTATGCAGTTCAGACTCATAATGATCCTCCTGTCTCAGTCTCCACAGCACTGGAATTACAGGTGTGCACTACCAGGCCCAGTTTCATCCTGCAAGGTGCTCCCAGAGTTCTGGGGAAGGTGCAGCATGAGGTACCAGTGATTGAACTCCAGTTCTTGTGCTTGCCAGGCAGGCAATTAGATCGCTGAGCTATCTCCCTAGCCTTGCATTTGTATTTCAATGATTATGGTTTTTTTTTTCTTCTCGTGAACTGCTTTGTTAGCAAAATAATTGAAAGTATGCTTCTTTAAAGTTTTTTCCTGAATT